ATATATATATATATATATACTCTCCTTCAAAATTTATTAAATTATTTAAATTTAAATTTATCGTATTTAATAAAAATAATTGAGAAATAAAAATAAAAGAGAAACGCAAAATATTTGTTTCCAGTAGAATATTTTTATTCAGGAAATGCACGCATTATAGCGTGCAAAAGCGTAAATGATAATAATAGATACGTGGACAATACATAAATTTAATGTTAAGAAACGAATAACAAAATATAAAAGCGCGAAGAAATAAAGGCACAATACACAAGTCTATAAATTCCTTATACCTACGGGTATAATGGTTCATTAAATATTGAACGACGCTACTTAGGACGAACAACGTACCCTATTGTAATAATAATGCAAAGGCTTGACGCAAACAGCCAAAGCCTCTTTGTCATTCGTTCTGCTCTCGAGACGATTTTGTATGAGAATACGATTCGTCGGGACCGCTCGCAATCTCGCCACGACACTGACCGCTTCCGGTACTCTATCCGTCGTCGGAGATTCTTTAGGCAACGGACATATCACGAAGCAGGCACTGTACTTGAGATTCCAGTTCTCCCGAATCACCTGAAAGTACCGACACTCGAGACACATTGAATTATTTCGAACATACGATAAAAGTTTCGAATTCTTTATAATATTATTTAAAAATAAAAAAATTTTCGAAAGTACCTTGGGTGTATTTCAACAATCTTGAATGTATAATATCCAAAAGTTTCTTGAATATTTAAAAAAAAAAAACAAGAAGGAATAATTACAAGTTTCAGATACTTCTCTCTATTTTTATCATTAAATACTAATTATTTTTATAATTAAGTACTAATTTTGCTTAATATTTTTTTTTAAAGATCTCATTAGCCAGTCAATAAAAACTCCTTTTTGTTAACGTTAAGTTTCAATTTTTCAGTTATTACACCATTGCTTTATTTTTTTATTTTATGCATAGTTTGCATATGGACTTAATGTCAGAATTCTAATGAATACTAAAGCAACAATGATTGGAATATTAATATTGAAATAATATTATGGCACTGCGTTCTTCTCCCAGTTTGGAATAGTTCGGTATCTTGGAGCAAAATGGTTCCTCTGGAAGGAGCGTTACCTTAACTTTGGCAGCTACTGTAACCGAGGCAGTGACGTTTGCGCCGTTTTGCTGTCGGTACCAGAGTCTACACCAGACACGCTCTGGTCCTCTGGTTTTAGTAGCACTAATCACACGTACTACACCTTGACTCTTGCCAGCCGGCGTGCCCGCGCCGCTAACTCTGTCGTCGAAGTATGCCGAATAAACGAAAAATTTAAACCTGGACCAAACGCACATCTCATTATCCTCTATCCAATCCTCTATGTATGTTTAAAATATACGTGATGCAATTTAAAACAATGATTAATTTTTGTTATGCAGCACATGCACATGCGTATAAGGCGAAATTGTGCAACGTAACTGAATTTTCAGCGAATTCAACATTTCTAAAATGCTACGAGCAAGAAAAATTATAAAACAAATAATAATTGACTTATTTACAGAAAATCATGAGTATTATTGTTGTTTCATTTTTTAATCCTGAAATATCACACCGATTTTCTCTGCTTAAACATAAAAAAGTATGCTAAACTTTCAAAGAGAAACTTAATAATAATAAAGCTGTAAAAAAACGATATGTCCTCAAATAAAAATTTATTCATTGCACTGGTTAATATGTGAAAAATTCAAGGAATTCAAAAATCAAAGAAAACTACGGGCGTGCTTAATTTCATTGTGTGTGATTATAAAGTACAAATGGATGCACCTCGTGTTAGTGACCGGCAACCATTCGGCATGCGTGACCTTTAGGTTCTGATCCAGCTGTGGTAAACGAGCTTCCAAGCTGGGGGGTAAGCTCGGTAAGCCCCGCGGATCCGGGTGTATCACCGTCTTCTGGCCCCCGTCCTCCCCGTGTACTAGTAATCCGACATGCTCGTCAAAGCTACCCTTCAAACCGGCGTAATCTTCGGCCTAAAGACATCAAGAGTACATCTCTCTTTTCAAAGTTAATAGCAATCGATATGTCGAAATTAATCATTTTTTTTTGTGATAACACTATATATGTAAATGATAAATATATAACACTATATATGTAAATGATAAATATATGTCCGCATTTGAAAAGTAACAATACAAAATCTATCTCATTAGATTCATTTTTTTTATCATAAGGATAAAAAAGAGAAAAATTAATGCTTCACAAAGGCCTTCCGTTCAAAATTCAAATTAAAAGATATTAATTTATTTTACTATATTTTTCTATAACAGGAGAAGTTATATTTAGAAATTATTATTTATTGTTTATTTATCGACTTTTCTTTATAGGAGAAGTTTATTCAAAAAAGGTACATAAAATATTTTTTCAATTTGAAATATTTTATAGATTTTCGATTTCATTAAAAAATTGTTAATACTCTTAATGTGGTGCGCTTAATCAGAAATGATCCTGCAATTAGCATAACTAGAGGATTCTATTGCACGGCTGATTAATACAGCAACTTCAAAAAGCCTGCAAAATCAGTTTGTCCTTTCGAAGTCAGATCGAGTCAGGTCTCAAGCTCAAAGATTCTTAAGACGGTCGACTTGCGAGACGAGTTTTAAAATACTCGGGCTTTTCTCGCGACTTATCTCGACGGGAGATATAAACGGATGAGGAAAGTTCTGTGGGATCGAGAAAACTAATTTGTCAGGTGGTCGCTCGCTCGTATCCGGTTAAACTTTTCCACTGTGATAGTATGCTTTTTTTTCGACCCACGCTGAGAATCGTCGTTGAAGCAAGCTGCTGTACGGGGCTATTTTTCCTTCAAAGCTCTTGGAGGTTCACGTGAATCATTGTCCGGTACTAGACGCAAAGGGTGCATAAACTATATAGCAGGTACGTTGTAACAGATATCGATGAAGAAAGAGAAAGAAGGGGTAAAGGAACGAGGCGTACGTTCGAGAAATCGATGTTGTACGTGGTGAGTAAAGTTTTCGGGCTTTTCCCGACCCGAGTTTCCCCCCCCCCCCTCTTTCTTACCATTGCTTTGTATGTGTTCGCTTTGTTCGTGTTCACACGAAGAAGAGAAACGTATAAAGCCAACGACCTCATTTCTTATTCTCCATTCTTTACTTGCAACAAAGGAATGTTTCGAGAATTTCTAAAAGAACACTAATTAATGAAGACTGGAAATATGCTTCGTTGTACCTTTCATTACAAAGAACGCAGAAAAACAAAAAAAATTTCAATTTGGAGAATAATTATAAGAATAAAAAATGCAGACGAGCATTTTATGTATGAACTTTTTTCCATTTTCCAAATACTTGAAATTTTTCTCACTCATTTAAAAAAAAAAAATCTAAATTTTAAATCAAATTCTAGATAATATCTCTAGTGTAATAATTCGTTATAATTTCTAGTAGCAGTTACACGCCCTAAGTCAACAAGGAAAGTTACGTCAGAGACACAAAGAAGAAGTGAAAATAAATTCCGGAGGAGAAGGTAAGAGATAATAATTAAAGTCCGTGGCGGAATCAACAAGGTCGATCTACGTAATTCTCGCTATGGTGGCGAAGAATAGTTCGTGTCTCCGGACACTTACCCCTACTTCCCCGTAATCCGGACGATCGGGCGCAGCTGGCAATCGATGACCGCTCCTGTGACCCCCGAGTACGCCGGTGCCGCCGATGCTCACGCCGCGCCTCTCGTCGATCAGGAATATCTCCGTGAGGACGATCAGGCCGAACACGGCGAAGAACATGACGACCAGCATGAACGACATGTTGGCGCGTTCCTTGAGAACGCCGGCGTTCGCTCGGCTCCCGCCGGAGCCGGATCTCCTGCTCGAGCCCATGCTCGAGGGGTATTTCTGTAAGCGACACTTCGCAGGTAGTCACTCGTGCTCTTCTCGCCCGAATCAAAATACGAGAATGTTTCGATAACTC